TAATGAATAGTGTTTCTGGATATTTTTCAATGCAGAATGAGATTGCCTGTTTACCTGCTTCATTGGGTTTAATGCTATATTGGCTACTGATGTCAAACGTTGCCACAAGTGTTCCCGGATCTACTGTTTGTGGTTTGAAGTTAAGGAAGTGAATATTGTCTCTGATGTAACTTTTAATCTGTTTAGTAAATGGTTGTAGTATTGTGTCTATTAAGTTACCGAGTCTTGATAGTTGGACAGGCTGGTCCTGATACTATGGGTCTGAATGTAAGGACACTGAGGTTTTGGATGTTAATACATTCAGATTTTTGTGTCTGAATAGCTGCTTTTATTTCACTCGATTTGTGAATTTTTGGTAGTCCGTAGAAATTGTTTGTTTTTGGTATGAAGTTTTCTTGGAAATCCTTTTCTTATTTTATTAATATCTTATTATGTGTTGTGCAGAGTTTTGTAATTTTTGATATAATATTTTTGTCTATGTTAGTGTTGTGGTACGATCCACCTAATTTACCTTGTGGAGTACCGACCATATAAATATGGTTGGTACCGGGAAGAGTGAGGAAGAAGAGATCCAATCCAGAGACTCTGCCCGACTGCGACTAAGTCAACCCATTCTACAGGAACGGTCTTCCCAAGAATATACCAAACTATCTGTAAATATTGTGTACACGTTCTTGTGTCAATACATTTTGCTTAAGTACATTTTGTGTTGTATTATTATTATTCCATGCTTTATTCAAGTTTCAACAGTTAGTGTGTATTAATTTATAGTAGTGCCTCTAGAAGTTTTGTTTTATAGTATATTTTGTCCATGATCATTATAGCACTGTTTTGTCTGCTTCCTTTATAATTATCTTGTTACTTCTCCGGATGCTCTCTAAGGCTTGTCTTTTTCTGTATATAAGGCTGTTGAATGGTTTGGGTTTTTCTTGTTTCGAGGTTCCAGAGTTTTTCAAAAAATAGCTCATTTGTTTGGGAAGAAATTGGATTTATTTTTTTTTTTACTAATGATTCATCTGTAATGTTTTCGTTATTATTAAATGTTTCTTTTAGTCTGAGTTTGCGTTCAAATTCTTCATGGTCATTTTTTAGGTTTGGTATATTGCCTTTCGGAGCAAGGCAGAATTTTAGGCAGAATTTTAATAGGTTGATTTCGTCCTTTGTAAGTGCATATGTAGATACAAAGGACGAAATCAACACATTAAAATTAGGCCTAAAATTCTGCCTTGTGCATATGTAGATAGAATAATATTTTGGGTTTTGTGTCATCTAAATTGGCCTTCTTGTTCGGACTGGGATTTCTAAAAAAATAATGATTGTTTCTTTCCACATTTTACAGGATTTCTAAGAGATAACCTCTCTCTACAGGTTCTGAGTTTTCTAACCAGTGAGATTTTTGCTTGGTAAAATTGGGGTTGCTGTTTCTAGATTGATCTATATAAGTGTGTTTGTTTTTGTTATAAGAGGTGTTCAAGATGTTCCAGTTCAAGAAAGATTTACTACTACACACAAAAGACAATGATTCAACATCAGAAAACATAAGTGAAATTAATTCCTTTTAATAATATGGAAAATAACCACACTTTGCCTGATGAAGGTCGCGACACTGGAAACGCGTGTAGCAAAAATATGGAAAATAAAGTATATATTTTAAAAAAAATCCACATTATAAACGAAAAACTTTGCGACTTCCCTCTTCTCTTTAAAATATACACTTTTCTCTCTTTGAAACAACTATAACCACTCCCTTATAAATAACTACAACGAAAGAATGCCGCGAACAAAAAAGAAAACCATGGAAAAACTCCTTGAGTTATACAAAATTACCAGCAGAAAACAGGAATTTCTGGAGGAAGGAATTCAGAAATTAAATAAAAAGATGGACACTATACCTTTACAGCTCACATCCCAACAAACCAGGGAACACAACTACAACACAGAAACACTGAAAACAATTGAAAACATTGAAAACAGAGTTGTTTGTAAGTAACGCAATACGCCCTTACAATTACTTGATAAACTTTTAAAACCATTATTTCAATGTTTAATTTAGTGTTTGAAAACATTCGAAAAGCCCTAAAATTATTAAAATCGATGTTTTCCTTCGAAAACAATTGATTTTAACATTTAGTTTTTACAAACTTATGAAAACTGAAAATATCGTTGAAATTGACGCAATTTACGCCTATTTCAATTACTTTTCATACATTATTTTAAAATGTAAATGGATGTAAAACATTTGCAAAAACATAAAATTATTGAAAATCCATTTAATTTTGATCGAAAACAATTGATTATAACAAGTTTTGGCAGCTTACACAAAGTTATATTAAAAACAAATTTTTTCAAAAGCTTATGAATACATAGAAAATGCATTGGTTGGAGATGCAATTTTACACCAAACCTCATAATTTTCATACATAATGCAGTGTTAATTTAAAAAGTAATAGTGCTTGAAAACTTTTGAAAACTCTTAAAATTGTTGAAAATAGATTTGTTTTCGTTTGAAAACTATTGATTTTAACAATCTTCGACATTTTTTGAAGACCCTTTTTTTAAAAAAAAATAACTTTGTGTAAAGTTAGTTAAAAAAAAAAAGATTTTTCAAAAATTTATGAATACATGGAAAACGCCATTTTATGCCAACACATTTAATTTTAGTAACTGAAACAACGTTGAATTAAAAGGTAATTTAGTGTTTGAAAACATTTCAGAACCCATAAAAATCAATGTTTTCGATCGAAAACGTGATTTTAACCTTCCTGGATATACTAAAATCTCGAATAGATCATGGGTTCAAGACATCTGTACACCGCAAGCCTACATTCACCGGAAAATATCTCAACTTGAAATCCTACCACCCATACAGTTTAAAGAAAGGGATCGTCCGCTTCTTACAATATGTAGAAAAAGTCAGGTGGCGTCTCTGTGACATATGAACATGGACAGTGTAAGTCAGTATAATCAATCAACTACCCGGGTACATGTCAGCGGCTCCGTCAAACTGGGTACAAGAGGATAACAACACTTAGAAGCTTACAGCTTCAGTATGCCTACCCTATGTGAGGAAAGGATTATCGGAGAAAATCTGTGGACACTCTTCAAATGTGGTTCAACATTTCTGTTTTGAAAAATATTGAAATTCACGTCCAAAAGCAAGCTGAACCTAAGAATACAGAATGTTGGTAGCATGACTATGAATAATGCCACCATGAAAATTTTTCTAATGCATTTCCTTAGATATTTGCTAGGGCTGCTCCATGCGGCCTTTTCTAACTATGATTTGTATGAAAATAGAATATTTTTCAAGCGTTTTGTGTGAAAACTGTTGGAACTTCTCAAAATCAATATTTTTCGATCGATGCCATATGTGACAGAGAGAGTTTGGGAAACACACAAACACTCACACACATATATATATCAGAACAATGTTGTTTACTGAGGGAAACCTGATCTCGCCCATTTGGAATTGGGCCATTAGAAAAGACAATGAAAAAATGATCGAAATAACTTTTGTCGGTTAAAATTGAAATAGAGCTTACTCAGGCTATGAGAACTTTGAAACTCACATGGTTTTGGGTTGACAGCGATACTCATGATAATCATGTGCTGACCAAGAGTCGATTTGTGATCAGCTAGGCTTATCTATATAAACGCGCACAGAAATCTGTTGACAATGAGTGGTTGGCTGGTCTGCCGTGGAGTGCAGTCGAGATGAAGAGAGAGATCGGAGATTGGGAGTGACGTCAGAGAATTGGAACCAAGCGCCCGCTAACATATTTTGTTGATATAAGTACGAAGAAGTGAATTACTCCTCCAACGTCTAAGACTACTACTGCTACTATTATTGCTACCACGAAGATTACTACTACTACTACTATTATGCTACCACGAAGATTACTACTACTACCACTGGAAACGGAAACGTCGAACAAGCTACGCATATCGATCAAGAGACGCATATCGTCCTGAGACGATTACACAACAAGCTAATCACAACCATCTCTCTCTCTCTCTCTCTCTCTCTCTCTATCTATCTATTTATCTATCTATCTATCTAGAATCCAGTGTATGAGTTTTTACGTCAATTACTTTTCTTTTTTGTAACCCGTTTCTTTTCTATACTATTTTTTCCTGCTATATAAAAGACATTAACAATTTAACCATTGAATAGTTGTTTGTTCGGCTTACTGCAGATATATAGTTTTTTTTTTTTTTTTGGTGCATTCTAAATTTCTTAGCACAGACTCTTCAGCCATGTCTACATCTCCAGTCACCGTGAATGGATGAACATCACTTCTGCTTTCTGGATCAAACCAAACACAACGTGGGCAGGAAGCAGGAACCAGCGGACCGGTTGAATGATCTACGGATCTTCAAGGGACCTACGGTCACTCTCTTAAGATCGGTTAAGACTACTCGGTCTTAACCCAGAGAGTAAGACGTCGGAGGTTGAAGGGCTGGGGCGAAGTTATCACATAGCAAATTCAATTTTCAAATAAGCTTGTTTAACGTTCAAAAAGTCGCCAAAACATTTTGCTTTTACCCGTAAATTTCAATATTTTTCAAAAGTTTGTAAAACTTGAAATTTGTAATATAACTTTGTGAAAACTGTTCAAACTTTTCAAATCAATTGGGCTGGGAGTTTGACTGGGGTGGTAGGTCTGTCAAACGGTAACGCAGGTGTCCCAAGGCGAGCTCAGTGAGGATGGAAATGGGCAAAAGCTCGCCCGATCTTGATTTTCAGTACGAATACGGACCGCGAAAGCGTGGCCCATCGATTCTTTCCGAGCTCCGTTCGCCGAGAGGTGTCAGAAAAGTTTACTACAGGGATAACTGGCTTGTGGCGGCCAAGCGTTCGTAACGACGTTGCTTTTCGGTCCTTCGATGTCGGCTCTTCCTATCATTGCGAAGCAGAATTCGTTAAGCGTTGGATTGTTCATCCACTGACAGGGAACGTGAGCTGGGTTTAGACCGTTGTGAGACAGGTTAGTATTATCCTACCGATCGGCACGAGTGTTACGTCCGCGGCCACGGCTATCCCGTTCAGTACGAGAGGAACCGCGGGATCGGAGCAACGGTTCGCGTGCTCGATAACGGCTAAAACCCGGAACCGCGACCGGTGCCGTCACGGTATTACGAAAGGCGTCTCTTTTCGTTCCGCTGGAGCCTGCCATAGCGGGCGTCGTCGTCGCTAGGGGCGGTCGCGGTCGACGTGGTCCGCGTCGGTGCGCTCGTCGTCGCCGTGCGCGTCCGCTTCGGCTGCTGTCGCTTCGCACGCGGCGGCGTCCGCGAACGGTTCACCCGATTTGACATCCGCGACAGGTGGGATTTTGCCGCCGCCGTCTTATTTCGAACTCGACCCTCGACCGACTCGATTCGTCCTCCCCGGGGGACGACCAACGCGTCGACACGTTCGTTGAACGAGCAAAACGCATTGAAAACAAGAAAAATAAATAAATATAAATTAATAATGAAATACCGTTCATCCGTTCGTTCGTCTTCCGCTTGGTTTCTTTTTCTATTTCCAGAGACGGACAACAGCGATGGCGTGTGGCAAGCACGTTTTCCTCGATCAAGAGCGGAAGTCGGAGGTTCGAAGACGATCAGATACCGTCGTAGTTCCGACCGTAAACGATGCCGGCCGGCGATCCGCCGGCGTTCGCTTCCATGACCCGGGGAAACTATGGTTGCAAAGCTGAAACTTAAGGAATTGACGGAAGGGCACCACCAGGAGTGAAGCCTGCGGCTTAATTTGACTCAACACGGGAAAACTCACCCGGACCGGACACCGGTAGGATTGACAGATCGATAGCACTTTCTCGATTCGGTGGGTGGTGGTGCATGGCCGTTCTTAGTTGGCGGAGCGATCCGTCTGGTTGATTCCGATAACGAATGAGACTCTAACTAGTGCGCCGATGTGTGTGTTTATTCAACGGCGTTCATTGCAGCGCTCGGGTCCGGGTCGGTTTTCTCACGCACTTCGTAGAGGGTCGTGTGGCAGAAAGCGATAACAGGTCTGTGATGCCCTTAGATGTCCGGGGCCGCACGCGCTATACACTGGAGGTATCAGCGATTGATTTCGCCCTGGACCGTGAGGGTCGGGAAACCTCTTAACCACCTCCCGTGAAAGAGATTGGGGCCTGTAACCAACCCCGTGAACGAGGAATTCCCGGTAGGCACGGGTCAACATCACGCGTCGATCACGTCCCTACCTTTTGTACACACCGCCCGTCGCTACTACCGATCGAACGGTCCGGTGAGGTCCTCGGACCTGGCCGACGACCCCGCCGGGCAGCGTGCACGTGGCGCAGCGGAGGTTTCCGCCGCTGTTTCCCGCGCATGTCGTACACGCCTCGACGTTCGATACCTGGAGGACGACTGAACCCGATCGTTTAGAGGAAAGTAAAAGTCGTAACAAGGTTTCCGTAGGTGAATCTGCGTAAGGATCATTATCGATGACCAGCCGCGATTACGCGCGGGAGCGGTTTACTCGCGCGTTTTTCGCCGCCGCTGCTTTTCTTTCGAAATACCGTCGAGTCACTATCTCTTCTTCGGGAGACGACTCGACGGTCGGGACTTGTAGTGAGCGGGTATCGACTACAGGAAATAAAAGGTTGGTCGGTCGCGTGTAGCACGTTTTCGTCGGTGAAACGCCTATGCTCATTTTACGGCAGCCACCGTCGCATGGACGGCCCGTTTGTGTCTGCTGCTGCTGCTGCTGCCTTATCGTCTGATCAATTGAAAATTTTGAAATAAAGTAGAATTATAGCAGTTATTGATAATTTTGAATTGAAAATATTGAAATCAAATAAAATTATAGAAGATTTTCTTATTTTTCCACATTGTCAATTGAAAAATATTAAAATCTGCTATAATTCTACCTGATTACAACATTTTCGATTGAAAAATAACAAAATATTTCATATTTCCATTTGATTTCAACATTATCAATTTAAAAATAACAAAATCTACTATAATTCTACATTATTTCAACAATTTCAATTGAAAATTAATATCATCTGCTCTGATTCTTCTTGATTTCAAAATTTTCAATTGTAAAATAACAAAATCTGCTATTTCATTAAAATAATTTCCACAGAACTAAAAGAAAATCTGCTATAATTCCATTTGATTTCAACATTTTCAATCGAGAAATAAGAACATTTACAGATTTTTCATAGAAAATTAGAAAATCTGATATAATTCGATTTGATTTCAACATTTTAAATTGAAAATTCTACTATAATTCTATTTGTATTCAATATTATCTATTGAAAAAAAAATAATTCTAATTGATTTCATTTTCAATTGAAAAATACGAAAATCTGCTATAATTCCACATGATTTCAATATTTTCTATAGAAATATAAAAGACACTGCTATACTTCCATTTGATTTGAACATTTCGAATTGAAAAATAACATAATCTGATACAATTCTACTTTTATCATTTTCATTTGAAAACAAAATCTTCTATGATTCTACTTGCTTTCAACATTTTCAGTTGAAAAATAACAAAATCTGATAAAATTCTATTTGATTTCAACATTTTCAATGGAAAAAACAAAGTCTGTGATAATTCATTTTGATTTCAAAATTTTCATTTAAAAAATGACAAGATCTGCTATCAATCAATTTTTCAACATTTTTCATAGAAAAATAAAAAAACATCTGATATAATTCCGTAATATTTCATCATTTTCAAGTGAAAAATAACAGAATCTGCTATAATTCCATTTGATTTGCAATTGAAAATTGACATTGCTAATATTCTACTTAATTTTAACATATCCAATTGAACAATAACAAAATCTGCTATAATTCCTTTTGATTTCAATATTTTCAATTGTAAAATAACAAAATCTGATATAATTCTACTGGATTTCAACATTTTCAATTGAATAGCAGCAAAATCTGCTAATATTGCATTTGATAGCAACATTTTCAATTGTAAAATAACCACACTTTCTATAACTGATTTCAAAATTTTCTAGTGAAAAATAATAAAATCTGCTATAAATCCATTTATTTTCATAATTTTCCATTGTAAAATTAAAAAATTTGATATATTTCATCATTTTCAATAGAAAAATAACAAATAAAATAATATCTTCTATAAATCATTTTGATTTCTACATTATCTATTGAAAATTAACAAAATTTGCCAACATTATACTTAATTTTAACATTTTGAATTGAAAAATAACAAAATCTGCTGTAGGTCAGAATCTCCTATAAATCATTTTGATTTCAACAATTTCAATTGAAAAATATCAAAATCTGGTATGATGCCATCGTTCAAAAAGTAGCCAAAACACCTTGCAATCAAATATCAATATTTTTTAAAACAATTTTAAAACAATCAAATATCAATATTTTTTAAAACATAAAATTTGTAATATAACTTTGTGAAAACTGCTGAAATAGATATTTTTCGATCGATAAAATGCGGATTTTCAGTAATGTTATTGGCTTTCTAATGTTTCCAAAAAGCAATTTAAATTCTCAAGCAAGCGTGTTTAACGTTCAAAAAGTTGTCAACACAGCTTGCTTTTGCAAGTAAATCAATATTTTTCAAACATTTGTAAAACAAATAATTTCTAATGTAACTTTGTGAAAACTGTTGAAACTTGTTAAAATCAATATATTTTGCTCGATACCATATCGATTTTCAATAATTTCATTGTCTTTCTAATGTTTCCAAATAGCAATTTAAATTTTCAAGCAAGCGTGTATAAGGTTCAAAAAGTAGCCAAAACAGCTTGCAAAAGCAAGTAAATCTCAATATTTTTCAAACCTTTGTAAAACATAAAATTTGTAATATAACTTTGTGAAAACAATTGAAACTTGTTAAAATCAATATATTTTTTTCGATACCGTATAGATTTTCAATAATTTTATTGGTTTTCTACTGTTTAAATTAAGCAATTAAAATTTTCAAGCGAGTGTGTTTAAGGTTCAAAAAGTAAGCAAAAACATCTAGCTTCTTCATGTAAAACGCAATATTTTTCAAACCTTCGTAAAACATAAAATTTGTAATATAACTTTGTGAAAACTGTTGAAACTTGTTAACATCGATGTATTTTGATCGATAACCTATCGATTTTCAATAATTTTTTGCTTTTCTAATGTTTCCAATTAGCAATTTAAATTTTCAAGCAAGCCGTTCAACGTTCATAAAGTAGCCAAAACAGCTTGATTTTGCAATTAAAACTCAATATTTTTCCAACCTTTGTTAAACCTAAAGATTGTAATATAAAATTGTGAAAACTGTTAAAACTTCTGTTGAAAATCAATATTTTTAATCGATATCATATCGATTTTCAATAATTTTATAGTCTTTCTAATGTTTCCAAAGAGCAATTTCAATTTTCAAGCAAGCGTGTTCAAGAAACAGCCAAAACAACTTTCTACGACTAAATATAAATATTTTTCAAACCTTTGTAAAACAAAAGATTTGTAATATAACTTTGTGAAACCCGTTGAGACTTGTGAAAATCAGTATTTTTCGATCGATACCATATCGATTTTAATATTATTAGCCTTCTGCTTTTTACAAATGGCAATTTAATTTTTCAAGCAATCGTTTTTAACGTTCAAAAAGTAGCCAATACAGCTTGTAAAGTAAACAGTAATACAGCAATTAAATCTCAATATTTTTCAAACCTGTAAAACATATAGTAATATAACATTGTGAAACCTGTTCAAACTTGTCAAAATCAATATTTTTCGAGCGATACCATATCGATTTTCAATAATTTTATTGGATTTCTAATGTTTCCAATTAGCAATTTAAATTTTCAAGCAAGCGTGTTACACATTCAAAAAGTAGCTAAAATAGCTTGCTTTGCAAGTTAATCTCAATATTTTTCAAACAAAATTGGTAATATAACTTTGTGAAACCGGTTGAAACTTGTAAAATTCAATATTTTCTAATCGCTACCATATCGATTTTGAATAATTTCATTGGATTTCTAATGTTTCCAAGTAGCAATTTAAATTTTTACGAAAGCGTGCTTAATGATCAAAAAGTAGCGAAAAAAGCTTGCTTTAGCAAATAAATCTTAATATTTTTCAAACTTTGGAGAACATAAAATTTGTAATCTAACATAGTGAGACCACTTGAAACTTGTCAAAATCAATATTTTTCGAACGATACCATATCGATTTTCACTACTTTTATTGGCTTTTCAATGTTTCCAAATAGCAATTTAAATTTTCAAGCAAGCTTGTTTAACGTTAAATGTAGCCAAGACAGGTTGCTTTTGCAAGTAAATCTCAATATTTTTCAAACCTTTGTAAAACATAAAATTTGTAATATAACTTTGTGAAAACTGTAGAAACTTGTGAATATCAATATTTTTTGATCCATACCATATTGATTTTCAATAATTTTATTTGCTTTCTAATGTTTCCAAATGGCAATTTAAATTTTCAGACAAGCGTGTTTAACGTTCAAAAAGTAGTCAAAATAGCTTACTTTTACAAGTAAATATGAATGTTTTTTCAACCTTTGTAAAACAAAAGATTTGTAATATAACTTTGTGAAATCTGTTGAAACTTGTGAAAACCAATATTTTTCGATCGAAACCATATCGATTTTCAATAATTTTATTGGCTTTCGATCCATAACATATTGATTTCCCTATCAAAAAAGACATTTTTTTTTAAATTAAATGGTTCTATTCTGGAGATTGCTTAGGATCTACTACTTGAAACATTAGAACATCAATAAAATTATTGAAAATCGATACAAATGTTTGAAGAATATTGAGATTTATATAAGTTATATTACAAATTTAATGCTTTACAAAGTTTTGAAAATTATTGAGATGTACTTGCAAAAGCGAGGTGCTAAACGGACGACGCGTCAGCAATAAAAATGTGAATGATTGTCAATCAGATGTAGCGGACCCCACCACCTTCGCTATGTGCCCTGAGGCTCCACTACTACCAGCATTTTTCTTTCCCTACATATTAATCGTTGGTGATGTCCGCAAAGCTTTTACGTGTCAAAGTCACTTGAATGTCAATGTCAACCGTGGCAGTTCCAGCCTTACTCATCACTCCTGATACCTTTCCACTTTTCCGTATTGTACAAAAATGTCCCCATTCTGTCTTCTTTGATGTCAACGCTCACCTTTGTTCTCCGGGTGCCCATACATTCCCGAAGTATCTTCGTTGTTAAAATCCTTCCGGTCAATTCTTTGGCCTCTTGCTTGGTTGCCAGCAGAACGTCAAACATGGCCTTTGATTTCCTGGTCCCATCGTTTCCCTGCTAACACCAATTAAAATCCAACTTTTTACGTAGGGAAATTGTCCCTTGTAGGAACTGCGTCTAGTCACGACGGTAATACAGTTTCTTTTTTTTTTTTTTTTTCTTTTTTTTTTTTTTACAGTTCACTCAAAAATACATAGTACAAAACAGAATAAGTAATATTTAAACGAAACAAAACAAAACGGAATTAACAAACTTGGCTTGCCAAAAACAAGTCAGATGTAAGAAATAAAAATGAATGAAAAACGGGAGGGTGTAGAAAACAAAAATAAAATACACTAAAAATTAAAGTTTACAAATACACAAAGAAAGACAAACTGAAAATAAAATGCACAAAGGTTCAACGATCACAGAAATAACGAACAAAAACTTAACGTATAGTTAAA